GTCGTTCTAAGCGGAGTATAGTTAACAACGCTCTTTCGAAGTAATTTCGTCTTTTTCCAAACCGTAGTACTCCGCACACATGGGCACCGACAAGAATTTGCCTTGAAGGGTGCGAAATTGTGTTGCATCGCGAGGGGGGAGGGGGGAGTGCTGGTGTTTGGAAGGCGCAATTGAATGCCCTTTGCACCCTGTTCCAGGCTCCATGGACGGCGTTCCCGCTTCGACGTAATCCAGCTTGCTCTTTCGTTCTTTTGCTGCGGTGAAAACGCGCAGATGCTGCGGCAGTAGTCCGGTCATAATGGACGCGTGGCTCAGCTGGCAGTGGGCTCGATGCGCAGTCGGGGATCGCGTCGTTCACTATAATTTATGGGTTTTGCTCTGAAAGAGAACACGTTCACATATATATGTTGTACCGTTATGCCACCTAACTTTATATTCAAAGGAAAAAGCTAGTCTCTACATCACTGTGAATCATTCTGGAGAAGCAACATAATCATACGTCAGTAAACGTGCTAAACCTGTGCGTTATCTCGAAAATACCTTCTTTGTCCGTGATGTGAAGACTGCAGACACGAATACGTGTTTCTCCTTTTAGATGAGAAGCATCCTATGGTCGAACCTGGCCCCCGGTGTGCGGCGTGACCACCCTTAATTGCGCATGCGTCACTAGTGTAAGCGTTGTAGTACCCGCTGCTTAGCGCCTACACATGATTCATTTTAGCGGTAGATGGTGCAAGATTTTGTTTTTTTTTTCATGTCTCCTCCACTTAATGCGCGAGCCGATCGCGGGCACGCTGCTACGAAGCTTTTTGCACATCCTTGTTCGCGCGCCCTGATTTGTTGTAATCGCTGGCAAACTAAAAAATTTTAACGCGTGACTGTGCCTTGCCTTTTGAAGCAGAAGTTCCACTTCTTTTTCTGCAACCGTAAATAGCGGAAAAACACAACTCGCCACTGCAAAGCTCCCAACTATAGAATTACAAGCGTTCCTGAATATCGCAGCATTCGTTCCTCCCGTTTCCGGATGTGACATCCGTGCAACCCATGTAAAATACACTATACATGGATATATGCTTTACCCTATCCTCCTCCTTTCACCCCCGCTTTGTTTCCAATCCTTCGCTCTTATTCGCGGCTATGCTATAATTTACTGTCCCCATCACCATCGTGCACTCCTCACCCTGACTTCTCTTTCCTGCCCCCTTTCGATACTGTACTATACAGGGCTATGCGATGGTTTACCCTCTCCCTTCCTCTACTCCTGAACCTCACACAACTTTTATGCTCCATTGCTATATGCATAATATTCATGGCTATTGTATCACATGTCAAGCAACACAATTAATATGACAGTCACATGAGACGACAGCACGTGCCCCTAAAGTGCTCCAGACTTCAAAGGTGAGGCGCTGTAGAATGCACGCACGTTTTACCACTGCCAACCTTAGCGGCCAGGCCGATTCACCACCGATAGTGTTTGCACAAATAATTGTTGACACATTTTAATATATATGTGGCTGTGGCATGCACGCCACCACAGGGCAGTGTCATATCGAGTAACTATTCTTAAAGGGACACTAAAGTCAAATAACAATTTACGTCAGAGTGAAATCTCAATGTATGACAACATCCCAAACTACAATATTATCAACACAGTGCTCTACTTACAGAGAAAGTAAGGTAAATGCACAAGAACACAAGCGCGGCAGTAGGACATTTCAAAAATGATCCCAATGACATCAGACGGGCCGCCTACAATTAACCACTAGTAATCGATCTAACTGCACTAAATAAAGAACTTTCCGTGCATCAAGAGACACATTAAAATGCTGCTTGTTCGTTTCTGTTTGATTCATGAAAAAAAGAACTGCAGTACGCTACTATAAGGAATGGTGCGACTGGTTCAAAAATTCAATTTTCACGTGATTACACGAGACAGGTGGTACCATCTAGCGGGGCGCCGTTCAAGCAAAAACGTTTGCAATCTCGAAGCCAATGGCGGGAAATTGATCAATGGCTATTGTTGCTGCTGGGGATCTTGCCCCTTTCAGTCTGCTGCTATTAGCGCAGTAAAGCCGGGCAACATTATGCATGGCAAGAGTGACGTGAGACGAATCTAGTAACGTTGGGTTGGTCCGCTTCTTGAGGCGGGTAATTTGAAGTGCGCTAACTCGATGTGGAGCACTAAAACGTGATTTTATTTCAAAATAGGCCCTTCCTCGCCACAAAATTAAGTAACACTACGAGGTTTCTGGACCGCCATTTTAACAATCAACGTCGACTTAATAGTTGGCTTTAGTGTCCCTTTAAATATCCTACAAAAAAGCAGTGATGTGTTTCTGTCTGAAGTATATGAGTTTTAAATATTACAGATAAAAATACTCTGCAAATATAATATGAACTCAAGGTATGAGTGCCTCTTACCAAATGTTAACTATAAACAATCTATAACTACAGAAATTCTGGGAATGTAAAGATGATGCATGAAGACATGAACAGCTTGAAAAGCAATAGATTTTTTCATTTGGAACATAAATATGTACACATACATACATCAAAGAGTCATCACACACACAATGATGATCAAATAAAGCCAGCATCGATCAAGGTAGCTCGCAGATGAAAGAGCTGTCCATTCCGCCATACGTTTGGCACTTCGGTACAAACCATACAAGACGCAGCATACCACCCATGACATCAGCACACACACACAAAAAAAGACTGAAACGTGAGAAAGTACAAAACAAACATGTTAACAGTGCCAACGATGTATAATTTGAATGTTAGTATAGTCACAACCATCTTCAGTCCAGTCTACACTCATACGTAGATACTTCTTTGTGTGACACTTCAAGCTTTAAGAGAACTATTACTAAACTTCTCAGCAGAAAAACTTCCGACAACTAACACAAGAGACGTGGACAAGGGCGTGTTAGTTAGTTCTCATGTTAGTTGTCGGAGGTTTTTATGCTGAGAAGTTTAATAATAGATTACCAACTAGCCCGATCCCACACTTCACTTTAGAGAACACCTAGCATTTCCTGTGAAAATAAACAAACGAAAAAATCCTGACGATTTCTTTTTTTTTTTGCTATCTATAACTTGTGCATTTTTGAAAGCCAAAGTAAACACCGAGCTGCCTTTTAAAGACTTGCAAAACAAAGCACGAGCATCCACACATGCGTACACAAAGTAACCAGACATTTACAACAGCTTAAAAGTCGCAGTTACAACAATATTAACACACTGCTAACCTGAAATGCTTACTAAACCTATGCAAAGAATGAAGGTACACTAGCATTAAAGATGTTGCAAGTCCTAATAAATAGCGCGTCAAACACACATACTGCCTAAAATAGTTGACCTACGGAATCAACTATGAACGCGGTAAAAACATAAGGCAGAATGGCTCGTACAACAGGCACGAAAAATGAGAAGAAAGCTCTAATTAAACAAGATTTTACAAATACAGTGATAGTGCTTTAGATTAATAAATAATCAAAATGTAGACTATAAGACTAAGTGGCTAGATGCAGTTTTCTGCCAGCGTAAGTAAAGTCAATTAGAAAATGCCAAACTTGAAACAATGAACATCACTGCCAACTCATGAAAAGAAGTGGGTGCAACAAAAAAGAAAGCAATACTTTCACAGAGTTTCAAGAAAGCTAAAGTAATAGAGTAAAAGATGTCAAAACATTGATGAAAGAAGGTCCAGTAGAAATGAACAGTGGTTAACAAAACCACTTATTTACTTGTCTGGGAATGTGACAAACCAAACGAAAATACAGTCGAAATAATATGGTGCTAAACAAAGTAATAAATAGTAATAACCGAAAGGAATAACAGTTGAATTTCATTACAATGAAGTCATGTGAAAAATCCCTTATTTTTTCCTCACATCCGTCATAGGCATATACTGCACGATGTGCAGTATTCATTACATGTTGATATTAACAAAAAGAATTCATATTTGCTTTGTTACATCCAAGAATTCATCATATTCATGCCCGGCATACCGAAGTTCAGCCGCAGTTGCTGATTACATCGTTGGGAAGGCTCTGCTATGCAAATAAATGATAATCAAAACGACATCTGTAGTATGCAAATTTTTGTGCAGCTTATGGTACAAAATGCAGACACAAAAAAATGAAAGAAGCATATGCGAATAAATTTATTCACTAGCTCATTAAAAGCTATCTTACTGTGACAGCATGAGTTTTAAAAAAACTTGTACCAACACTGTGCATTTTCAAGTAAAAAGCTCAGAAAATTCAGCAAAAACTGTGACCTCTTGTATGAAATGATGTTGTGGCAAAATGAAGCCAATGCATCCACGAACACTTATTGGTAAAAATGAGTACCATTTGAACCACAGTGTAATAAGAAACACATTACAAGCACAATTAGGTAAATAGAAAGCCAACAGGTACGGCTGGGATGCCTGACAGGTCTGTTGAAAAAATGAAATGTGATCAATATGAACCTCACATTGCGAAAATGCAAAAAATTCTGCCTTTAGCGTGCCATCTCTTGTAACTTCTCTTGAACACCAAAACAGCCACAAATCAGCATTTTTTAAAGCAATGAGACAAATCAAGCAGATATTTGAACCCGATTTTGTTTTACTAGTAAAGCGGATGAAATGTTAATGACACAAGCACGTCTTCCTAGAAGAAGCACTAAGGCAGTACATTATCACACGACCTCAGTCGGATACATAATTTAGTTGACGATGAACTGAATAATTTAATAAGCTTCTGCTCTTCTGCACGAAAACCAACAGCTTGATTCGGTTCCCCCTGATCAGTTGCAGTCAAGCTATTTTTTTTTTTTTTGCTTGCCCAAATTTTCATGAGCTCATTAAAAAGCACCAGAAGCATATAGATCGAATCAGCGAGTAATGGTCGAGCAGTGACTGAGTGGATAGTTAAGCTAAAACTCGACAGTGAAAGAGGTGCCCTTTCAAATGGGGCTCCCATTCAGTGCTGTTTGACATAACCAAGCGCTTCACACACAAGACCTACGACCTTCATTTGACAGCTGATATGAGAAAAAATGAATATGCCTTAAATGGGCCCAGCAACACTTTTCCAAGTAATCATCGAATGACTTCATTTAGAGAATTTATTGCTGTGCAAATTGTATGCCGCAGAAAGTTTTAAACTTCGTCAAGGAAAAGTGGAGTAAAAGGAGTTTGTCAAAGGCTCCCAAATGCTTTCTCTGTCCTTTCGTACCAGCCAGTACACTAAAAGCTATGCAGGTAAGGTGACGACAAGGGGCAAGAAAATGCATCCCTTCATCAGCGAGCATCGTGATCTTGAGCACTTTCTATTCTTTTTTTCTTTGAAAGCGCAGCTTACTTTCACTGTGAATGAGAGTTTGCAAAGGGGCTTGTGGTGGCGTCCCGCGGTGGCTACGGTAACTTTGCAGTTCACGATGTTGAACTCAGCAAATGATCACCGACCTTAGGTTTGTAGCATGATTTGCTGAGCACAGTGAGAAGCGTTTCCTGCTGAGTTTGAGACTTGTAAATCTGAGGCTACATGTCATGCTACAACGTTTGGCTTGCTTGTTCTTAAGAGCCTCAACTACCAATCGGCAGTGTTTTCTGACCATGCTGAAGAAGTGTTGCAGGGCCCCTTTAAAACTTTGGTACTACGCTTTTTGTTCGTAATGGTCACTTACAGTGACAAACTTGCAACAAAGGAAGCCAAAATGTTTTTGTTGTGTCTTGCTACGGTGTACTACAGCACATGGTGATTCAGTGTACAAATCGCATAAGCAAATGGAAACCAGTAACAGTGAGTTCGAAAAGTTCTTGAAACCTCCATATGTTCCTAGTCCAGCGTGATTGTTTCAAGCTATTCTAGTAGTTTTATTTTTATTGCACTGAAATAGTTTTTGTTTGCTGCATGAAGCAGTGGCTTTGTTTTTTGATTTAGCCTGCTCAGATACTGATGGCAGGACATGCAAATGAGACAATAAGCTAACTATCGATGAATAGTTGTCTTATCGCCTCTTTTGTCCAGTTGTCCAATCGTCCAGATTGTTTCACTGCTATGAGCATAGATTAGAGTGTAGAAAAGAAAGAAAAAACTGTGACAAGATTGCCATAATAAAAATAAATGAAGTGTTTTGTATAGAGCACCTAAAGCTGTGCCACCTTGCGCTGACTGTACACACCCTGGTGACTGAATAAAGTGTGTATTTCTTTTTTTTTTCTACCGATCAAGCCGGTACATTATAAATGTTTGAAAGCAGTAGGTCCTTACATATACTATGACAACTATAAGCTTTCTCAACAGTTCAGTCACAATAACAAAATCGATGGTGACATACTTATAACTTGATATCTGTACGAAAGGTATTCCCGAAACCCCCCCTACATCACTCAGTTCCACTCATTTATTGTACCACATATAAAATGCATGGTGTGCAGCCCTTGCAGGGTTGTCTTATTACTGCCAGGCACAACTACGCTTTTAAATAAAAAATCTTTACAGAAATAATGAAATGAGTGTGCATTGAATGCTATATCCTTGTCCTTGAATTGCATGGACAGCTTACTGGGCAATGTTTCCCCTCCTTTCCACTGACCTTACTACTGTGATGTAGTATTGATGACAACATTCCAATTACATAGGAGACACTGATGAGTGAACATCATTAATAGTCAAGCAACCATGTTCAGGAAGTGTTGTATTATGGTGATGCTGCACAGCAATCGCTTCACAAACTGAGCTACCTAAAGGACTTCACGAGAACTTGTGCTGAACCTCATATAGCAATGGCTAACTTTTGTGAACAAAAATTAAAGTTATGCAAAAAGTATTACACCTTAGATGCTAACAGGCAATGCATGAGATTAGTCGGGTTTATCTCTCCATATAAATACTTGAAAACCATATAAATACTTGAACACAGTTGGTGCAAGCTAAGCCACCAACTAGCCCAAATGCAAGTTCCTCTAGACTGAAAGCAACCTTCCTGTAATCAGACTCGCAATTATTGTAAGCGACTGAAAATAAGCAAGAAACTGTTGGCCTGCACATTTAACAGGGTGAATTTTTCCTGCAGAAAGGCCAGCTTTCGAAATTTATCGTCTGTAATTTATTCTGAAATTTCCATGTTTAATGAGGCCACAAAAGAGCTAAGTTCATAAAAATATGCAAGCTATTTACACAATTTTGTTTCGAAGGATGACAGGCTACCCTTAGCCATAAATGAAAGTAATGATTTCAACATATACGTGAAAAAAAAAAGCTGCTGGATAGCAGCACAACGAAGAAGTATGTTATAATTTAGCCACTTAAAGGTTAACCTGTGCTTGCGATATGCTAGAAATGCCAACATCAAAAATCAACCCACCTCTACCTTTAGAATTTACAAATAATAAAAGAGCAGCTTTGAGAAATGCAAGACGTAACCTCCTTTCGTTTTGAGCTAGAGAGAAACACTGAATGCAGTTTAATTGAATGAACACAAGATTGGTCTAATTTAGATAAACATTAACCTCTCTCGGTAGTTAAAGTCCCGCATTTAAAGAGGTTGTGAACCATTTCTCGAGTTTGGTGAGGAAACAAATCCTTCAGAAAGCCGACACTGCAACGAACAGCTCAACCAAATAGCGCAGTTGTGCACACAAGGAGAGTTCAGAGGCGGAGCGCAAAGTTGCCATTTTTTCAAGAATGCTGGCTTCATACAAAGGTCTGTTCTGACTCTCATCGGTGGGTGGGACACCTGAACTTTGACATCGAACAACGCATATCATGCAGTTGAACAAAAGCTAACATAACTTAAGAGTGTTGTTTAGATCAGTGATGCTTTTTGCCACAGAGTGCCACAAAACGCCTGAGCTTGGCTTCATGTAATGTGCTAACATTACACAGTGACCACAATCATGCGCGCGAATCGCAGCGGAAAAGAGTGGTCGCGTTTCATTTCGTGCGCTTAAGGTCACAATGTGCACTGAGGTAACCTCTTTCCCACTGTGTAGCTTCCTGAATAGCTTCCAGTGTACTCGTCAGGTCAAGACAAAAGAGCAAGTGGTTAAAGCGTGTGATAAATATTGCCCATTCTCGATGGGTTCGAGAAATTCTTGTGGGAAACGATTCGTTAGACAATGAACTCTCAATAGTGTCATTCGATGATTACATTAAAAAAATGGTTCAGGGCCCCTTGAAGAGTGAAAGTTTAGCGTGTGACAAGCACAACAGTTTAAAAATCGCTCAAGCAGAATGACATGGCGTAGCGAGGGCTCCCTGCCAAAAACAAAAGTTGCAGAAAGCCACAGCAATGACACCAAATGTGTTTCAGGTAAATGAACCTGTAAAGATGGCGCTAATCTATGTAGACAAAACACAAGCTGTACGAATATGGCTCTAAATTTTGATTCTCAATGTGCTTCAATTAGAAACAAAAAGAAAATTTAAAAAAAATCACACAGTGTGCTACTTATTCGGCTACTGGTAAAGAAGCACACCAATGTCATGATCATGACCTACAACTTTTGTCAGTCTCCAGTCTATCCAGGTGAAAACTAGCCGCACATACAGACTATAGGGAGGTCATTCAACCTGGAAGAGTTCATAGCCTGTGAAAGGCATCACTGCTTCTTCTTCCCACGCACAAGTGTATTCGTGAAGTTGCTCCACATCCGAAGGGAATATCAAAGAAGAAGAAGAGAAGCAGGTCGCATTCACGCAAAACCATCTCTCTTTAGACACGTGTCAGTTCCATTGCCACGTAAGTCTCAAACACGTGTCTTTGACAAGTGTCCACACCTAAACTTTGACCCCTGGGTCATACCAGGGCGAGAGAGTATGTCACACCACGTGCCGCTGATTTCACGGGCGCACACGACTTGCACGCACGCCAAGCCACGTTCGAAACGATTCACGTTTTACAGCCAAGTGACAAGTTCAGAAGATGTCTCAACCACGCTGCATCACAGGCACGACAACTCGAATCGCGATAATCCCTTTGCACCACCGTTGCACAAGGCTCTCCTTTTTTTTTTCTTCTCTGTTTATATTTCCCACTCAGGCACTAGCAGCAGGCAGGCAGTGCAGCCGCCAAGTAGAAGAAGACGTGTACGATCAGGAACGAACGTCAGACGCTGCTGGTCAGGCACTTCTTGAGCAATAGGGCGATGACCAGGAGCCATAGAGGCACACCACACAGCACGCGGTGTGCCGAGCTGGTGTGCGGCGTCACTGGGTGCTTGGGCACAGTGCCGGACGTTGGCAGCGATCCAGTGAAGAAAATGTCGGGGGTCGTCGAGGTCGGTGCCGGTTCATACTCATCGTCACCGCTTCCACTCCCACTTCCACTGCCCATGTCATCAAGGTCGGCTGAAAAGAACAAAGAAGCAAGTTGGCTCAAGCATGGAAAACTGGCTGTGTTGCCGTAGACGTTTTTAAAGCATTACCAGCAGGACTATTTTTGAAGTTGATTGGAGAAAATTTTTACTAGTACTACAGATTCTCTTCGGTAGTGTCTTTACTACACTGCAATATATCGCTTCTTTTGTTATCCCACGGTAGCAAGCACTCTTTGTTATTAACCCAAGGTAAAAAAATAGTTATACCTAAGTGAAACACAACTGTACACAATTTCACAGGCAAGCTAGTGTATAATTGCAGTCATTTTGTAAAATGAGAAGAGGATGCTGTAGAAAATAATGATGAGGCAAGATCTGTTCATACAGGGAAATATTTGTGATGCTGCCATTACTCATCACGCAATCATCATTGTAATATTGAAGGTTCCATGGTGTGAGCTCTTGGACCCCTGAAAAGTATATCAAGAATGTTTTCTTGACCAAGCTATGATCTAGTATGATCTTCATTTTTTGTTACAGGCAAAGTTTACAGAACTGTTTCAAAACTCTTAACAATTATTTGTGAGAAACTAAATATTCCTGGGAACGCATACATCTTTGAACCTGCCGCTGATGCTGTGCTGCCAAGCTGGAAGGCGTGGCAATAATGGTGTGTGCTCTTGTATGGTGCAAGAGTCAAAAAAAAAAAAAAAACAAAGTGTGTTGTGAAATGGCATGATGTAAGGGACGACATAACCCCTTCACACATCAACTTTGAAGGTGTGTCACGTGCTGCATGTTTTTCCAAATGGCTTGAAATGCAGCGGGCACATTCGTGCAGCCTTCCCGAGTGGACAACCGGCAATCATTTCAATTCTCTTGGATGGGTATATGTACAGATGATCACTTTTCTGGAGAAACTGCACCATGTTTGGTGATAATTCAATGCGCCACATTCTAGGACTGACACTAAGAGTACTTTTTTTCTCTGCTCGAAATAAATACAACTGGAAACCAAACCCTGCACATAATTTGGGCCTGACACTTCATTATTTTTATGCAAGAATTCAAGCTGACTGGGAATGTAACACTGAATGCCTTCAAAGCACGCCGCACAAATTTGACGCATTTGCAGAAAGTGGATCGTAATTCGCACTTGAAGGGGATAATAAGTGGCAAAGTGCAAGCGTAATGTGGCTATATAGAGGTACTCTAACAATCTCTATAAGATGCATACTTACAGTTGATAAAGAAATGACAATGATACTGCACAACTAATTCAAACTAATCAATAATTTATATCATGATAGTTATAAATAACATTCCCTGTACTACCCTTGGTATTAATCTCAAACTTCATAATAACAAAGTTGCAACTTACAAGAAAAAAAGTTCATTATATCCAAAAATTTGTTAAGAAGGTTGTTCCTAACACTATCTATTGCAAGACTATTCTTCATTTACTTTACTATAACCAGTATTTCATTATATTCTTAGTTGTTATATCGAGGTCTGAGTGTATAGTCTTTCAGTTCTCCTTAATATTGGGTCTAGCAAAGAAAAACGAACCCTTAGAATTCCCCTTCTTTCCTTCACTCATGAAACTGCACGGCATGTGATTAAGCAACTGTATTTATAGGAAAGACAATGATACAAGGACCTTAGCATGCAGCTCCGAAGTTCTTAAACTTTACAGCAAATTACCGTATAAACGCGTGTAAGGGCCGCACTTTTTTTTCAAGAAATGAGGGCCGATTTTCAGGGTGCGGCCCATACACGCAACGTGCATTTTTTTTTTTTTGAAGCAAAAGAAAAAAACGTACCAGCTAGCGAACGAAGAACGTTTATTGCAGCATACAGCATATGTGCTTAATCGTCGTCGCTCAACGAGTCCTCGGACTCGGTGTCCGAGATGGTGTGTTGCGGAGCACCGTCCTCTCACAAGCAGTCATCTTCCGCGCCATCCAAGCTGTTTGATATGCCGGTGACTTTAAAGCTTCGGGTCACAACGTCCGTCGAGACTGAGTTCCACGCCGACAGTACCCAACCGAGAACAGTCGCAAGCGGTGCCCTCTTCAGCCGTCCAGTCGGCGTCTGCTCGTGGCTGCCGCTTGCCATCCATTCCGTGTACAGCCTTCTGAATTCCACCTTAAAAGGTCGATTAACGCTGACGTCCAAAGGCTGCAGCATTCCAGTGAGGCCGCCCGGAATCACGGCCATGTCTGTGCCGACACGGCGCAGCTGTTCCTTCACCTTGTCGGTAAGGTGACCGCGGAAACTGTCTAATACTAAAAGTGACCGTTTGGCTAACAGCGCTCCTGGTCGGTTTTGCCAAACACACTTCACCCAGTCGAGCACCAAGTCATCGTTCATCCACCCCTTTTCTTGGGCTCGAACTATGACTCCCTTGGGGAACACTTCGTTCGGAATTCTTTTTCTTTTCAATACGACGTACGGGGGTAGCTTCCGCCCGTCCGCGGTCACACAAAGCATCACTGTGCAGCGTTGGCGCTCAGCGCCGGTGGTCCGCACGGCGACGCTCTTTTTGCCTTTCAGTTCGACTGTGTAGTTTTCCGGGCAGTCAAACCACACAGGAGTTTGATCTGCGTTCCCTATTTACGACAGTAGATAATTATGTTGATGGCGAAGGCCGATGACATATTTATGAAAACTAAGCACTTTATCGGTGTAGTCTTCTGGCAGCCGCTGGCACAACGTGGTCCTTCGCCGAAAGGAGAGATCCTTCCTTTTCAGGAATCGTCGCACCCAGCCAGCACTAGCCTTGAAAGTCCCGGCTGGTATATCCTTCGCACGTGCCAAGGCTAGTGCCTTCACGCGCAGCATGTCTGTAGTTAGTGCATATCCATCGTTCCGCACTTCTGTCACGTATCGGAACAACTCTTCTTCTAGTTCCGGAAACTTGCATGGCTTTCCTCGGAAAGCGCGCTTTTTGCTGTTCGTTTTTTCCAGAGCTTCCTTTTGTGCGCACCATCTTCGAACACACTTTTCGTCGACGTCGAATTTTCTGCCGGCGGCACGTTTCCCGTGCTCGAGCGCAAACTCCACCACCTTTAACTTGTAGCCAGCCGTGTAACTATTCAGGTGCTTGCCCATCGTGCTACAACGTGAACACTCGGCAGAAGACAAGCACGAGAGACAATACGGCGTGCACAACTCCTACAAATGGCCGGCTGAACTGCACAAGTTGGTGATGCTGATGCCGATATCGAGAGCGCGTTTGTATAGTGGTGCGAGGCACGAAGGATAAAATCCCGGTTTAACCTTCAGGTAACGAGCGTATGAACCCTAATAAAAAAGTTGAAATATTTAGCAAACTTTATGAACACCTTAGCACGAAGAAAGTTAAACAAAATATACTAGTGACGCACCTGTAAACCGCTGTAAACTTTGATAGTGATGATGATGGTTGCGTTTTTCGCGCCATCTATTGACAACGTTCAAAAGCTCGCATGCACGCGCGCGTTTTGAATACGTGTGGGTTAATGAAAGTGTGGGTGCGGCCCTTACGCGAATTTTTTTTTTTCGAATATGTGCGTCATAAAAACGGGGTGCGGCCCGTACACGGGTGCGGCCCTTACACGCGTTTATACGGTATTATAGAATGAGAGCATACCAAAGTAGCTATTCTAGAACTGCCTAATACACACACTCCTTGATGCCAGTTTGGGCAGCATGGAAGCTACAAATAGACAACCTGAAACAGTAGAGGCAAAAAAAAAATTGGAACAAAACAAAAATGCAGGACTAGCAACACTTCTGTTCTAATGTTGTCTGCAGTTGTTTTGTGCTGCTCTATTGTCTTTCTCAAGACATGAAACAACTGTATCAGCAAAAATCTTGTTAGCCATCTTTGTCAAGCAGAAGCTGTGCTTAGCACACTTTATTCATGAATATAGTTGCCGACCGCTTATTCAGACACTGAAAATTCTGATGTACTCATATACCCTGTCATATTTGTGACGGAGAAAATGTCAGAAAGAAAATCTTCTACTCATCCTATTGATGTAAAGTGCAACAACGAGTGATAGTTTGGATGCCCTACAGAACACAGTTTCATTTTTTGGACTCCAGCAGCCTCACCAGGTGCGATGTTGAACTCCTTGACAAGCTGGCTGAGCAGTGTTTTACATTTTTCTGAGTTGCCAGCCCTGCATAGGTGCAGTGGCCATGGCTGGGTAGCTGGTGTCCAAGTTCAAGGAGCACCGATGGCGACCTTCAAACAGCGATTGCCGATTTCGAAGACTATGTTTTTGTTGGCTGCACATAACAGTGGCTTTGTTCTGGATTTAGCCAGCTCAGTTACCAAACCATTGACTGGCAACTACAACCAAGCTGATCCCCTGAGCTAGGAAGCCAATGCTCAGCTTTTGCGTTGTCAGCTCTCTTGTGGTGAACTAAGTGCTCCACGACGCAGCAGCTGGCGCTGCTAGCGTGTTGCAGACCCACGTTCTTTCCCACCCTCTGCACCACCAAGAAAGGCGCAAAGAGGAAGAGAAGGGAGTAACCGGTCCTCGAGTATACCGAGTTGAATAAACAATAAAGTTAGTTGGTATCGAGACTCTCAGTAACACGCTTCGTCTCTGTGTGTCCCTCGCGCATACCAACCATTGGTGACCCGTAGTGCAGAACATGGAACAACACGACACCTTCAACAGCCTGACAATGCTTGTATTAGACATGAAGCTTCCTGCCTTTTAGAACAGCGACCCGGAACTTTGGATTCGTCCAGGCGGAAACTCAGTTTGCCGCACGAGGTATTCCCGCCGACACCACCAAATACCACCACGTGGTCCAACATTCCACCTGCCACAACGAGCGAGGTGCGCGACATTCTGCTTGTCCCACCAGCAGAAGATGCGTATCGAGTGCTCAAAGAGGTCCTGATTTTCTGTCTCACCCCTTCAGAGCCGGAGCACCTACAGCAGCTGATACGTGAGGCTAAACTAAGCAACCGCCACCCAAGCCAACTATTGCGCCAAATGCAGCAACTAGAGGGAAGCACAACAATCCTCAACAATCGCCTGGTGAAGGAGTTTTTATTCCAAAGAGAGCCCGCGACCTCGCATATAGGCGTCACGGCCTACGGAGAGATGGACGTCCTCAAGATCGCTGAACACACTAGCTGACCGACTCAAGGCCGTCAACCCGCCAACAGTTACCACAGCGCTTGCCGAAGCCTCGCCGTCTTTCACCGTGCTACAGATTCAGGCAGAGATTTCTCGCCTCACTAACACTGTCGCGGCACTACAATCGGCACTAAGAGAAAAAGGAGAGAGAAACTTGCCCCAGAGTCAATTGAGTCGAACAAACAATTAGGTTAGTTGGTACGGAGACTCCCACGTACTAACTAACTCTGATCATAATCAATCAACTCTTTTGAACTAGGCTTAATGTACTGCTATGCTTGAATCCTGCTCCTCTAGTGTGTGCTGCTGGGTACACTAGGCCTGATCTGCTGCTACATGATCATGAACAGTCATGACATGATATGAAATGGCTGCGACATCAATCCTGCCATTGAGATCAACAAAAAAATGTAATAACTGTCAGACTCGTGACGACAAAGGAAGCGGCTGCCGTATCCAGACGATTGTAAGTTTACCCCCCTAAAATTGCTCGGCGGGGGGGGGGGGGGGGGGGGGACACACACACACACACACACACACTCTACTTTTGATTTTCTTTGTAAGTCGACACCCCAAATTCAGATTTTGAATTTAGATAGAATGAGTCGACCTACATTAATGCAAGTATAGTGTCATCTGTCACATGTGAAGTTGCAAAACTCATTAAGTGCTGTCTGGCTCTGTGTCAAGTAGGTTAACTATAATATTGCCCATCAGATTCTTAAGACACAGGAAGTGAACAGAGGATTGAACGCGGTTATACTGGCTACACCATAGTGACGGACCCAAATCCCAGGGCATGCCCTAAAAACGGTTTTGTCTGTGAGTAGTGATCAGCTATGAGTAGTTGACTGGGCAACGAGATGAGAGCTCTCAAACATGTGGCTTGCGTACGTTTTACTAGTGACCTAAGCCTGCATATGACTGTCTTCATTCTATATCTTTGCAAAAATTATTAAACAAAGTTTTTTGTGCGCTACACTTACATGACCAGTCTCAAGCATTCTCTTTGTGAGGCATCTCATGTGGTAACTGTCAGTTGAAATATAACTCTGGGACAGAACACATTTTGAGGTCGGCATCCAGGTTTTAACCAATGTAGAGATCAGTAACAATATGCTTTTCCAATCCTGATGTCAAGTTTCCTTCAAAAATGGCCCGTGTATCAGATATCGGAAGGGCCTTCATTCAAACGGCAATGTCAGTGGACATTTTGTTCACACTTTGCACCAACACACCAGCTCCAATCTTCTTTTTCACTGTCTGAGCCCTTGTGGGACTAAATTTTTTGACTGCTACCTGCTAGATGAGGCAACTTTGAGACACCTTATCTAGATAACCATAGCGAAAGGTAACAGTACTATGTCATTGCAAAATCCAAGCATGGGGTGTGCTCATTAGTGTTAACGTAGACAACGAAGCATTGTTTCACTTGTGAATTGTGAGGTGGGCAGGCTCAATCCAGTTACACGCAGACACTAACCGGTGTCTTGCCACTGGACGTCGTGCCCTCCGTAAGCCAGGTTCAACTTGTTGGTGATGATTTTGAGAGTGAGTATCAGCTGGTTGATGACCACATTGCTGCTCGTGTACTCGGTGCTGCCACCCCTGTGGCCGTTGTGCGTCTGCGGATGAAACTGCTGGTGTGGGCCTCTGGTCTTGCCTCCCACAATTGTGCGGTTTCCCCCTTCGGACCTGGACAAAGGATCAGAATGTACGAGTTATAGCACCCGACATGTACTAAACGCACAAATGCATGTGATTGTAGAACTCCAGATTCCAAAATCAACTCCACATTTCAGGACCTGCAACTCCCATCAAATATTATTGGGCTTTCATATCTATGTAACTATTGGAAAGTCACTTCAGAAACAAAAGGCAAGCGTGACATCACCATGTTTACAAACTATTAGTAGTCTTGTTTACTTTAGCACTAGCACTGCAGAACTGCTCCATCAAGGTAGTGAGTTTGATGCCAAATTTTTTCTCCTCATTTGCATCTTCTTTTCGTCTACGACTTTTACACTCCAACTGAAAGCTACAGTAGACTCGCAATAATTCAAACTCTCATAATTCAAACTTTCAGTTATTTTAAACAAAATTCAATTTTTTGGTTGGCCCTCTATTTTTTCAATATATTTAAAAGCCTCTTAATTCAAACTCCATCATTCGGTTAATTCATACTTTTTACAGCTCCATACCAAAATATATCTGCTGCTTTGCCACTACTATTTAAAATTTCCGTGCCTATATAATCATAACAGTCTAAAATAAGCACCTCAGGCCTTCAAGAAAAAAAGGTTTTGCTAGTAAAGAAATTTTTGAAACAAAGCACACGCATGGTAAACCGTGATGCTTTTCAACTGGTATAGAGAGCTTTGTGCTGAAGGCACATACCTATAGCAAAGAAGCAGTTGGCAATTCAGGATTTCTTTAAAAGGTCCGATCAGTAGGAAATGGCCAATAAACTTGTCAACCTTACACCTCTGCTTTCTTTTCAATGCGTGCAGTTCAGATCTAAAAATACTTGAAAAATTTTTAAATGTGATAAAATCAATGCCTAATCATAATGTGTGGTGTCACCTCAGCCAGAGTCATCTATCTGAGAACATCTGATAATTCAAACTTCTTGATAATTCAAACAAAATTCAGAGGTCCCTTCAAGTTTGAATTATAGAGTTGACTTACAAAAAATTTCCCCTATCTTTCCTTGGATTCATTATCTGTTCACTTCAAACGCTGTCAAATGAAAACCGGCATGAAGTAGAATGATAAAAAAGATTTTAGAAATTGAATGCAATTAATGTTTCAGCTGAGGAAGTTTTGCTCAAAAGACAAAAGTCTTTTGAACATGCAATCCAAGATTGTGAGCACAAGCCAATGGATGCCATATATCACTTAAGTCAATAAACAAATGCAGGTCACAAGGGAAAAGTGCACTAATTATTTTTTATTTAAAAAAAACATGAGGTATAAAAGTTGTATTGCTTTTTTTATTAATTTCCTTATTCCTCATTTATTATTATGTCATCCCATGCAGCTTGTTTATTTATTATCCTTTTTTTTTCTCCCTGCCTGCCCATTCATGCTGTTTTTGTGGAAGCAGCACGCAAACTTGCACAAAGTGCAGAGAACATTTAGTTTTGACAAACTGTCTATTGATGCAGAGGTGTAATATTATACCAAGCTGACTGAAAAAAAATCCTGCCAGCGCTCACTTTGCTCGATTCAGTCCGTCCCAGCACTCTTCCTCAGGAGGTGGCGATTGTGCCGATGGCTGGCGGCACATGCGGTCGGGCAGCTGGGACCACATGGAGCGGGTGGCGCGAATCTGCTTCTTGATGCCCTGTACCAGCCGGTCCATGCTGGTCCCCGCTGCAGTGGTCGGCCTCATTGAGGGCTGCTGGCCCCCACCCGCACCTCCAAACTTGAGCGTCTCAAAGTGCAGCTCCTGGCCACTCGCACGGCGAGCCAGGCGGAGCGTCCCACATTTGTCGTACAGCTGTGCACCAGCGAAACAGAAAATAAAAGAAATGAGTATGAGTTCTTGAAATTCAACATAAGCATAGAAAAGACCTTTGCATGTAACATTGCGACTAAATATTTGAAAGGACTGGAGATACAATGTCAATACGGAACATAGGAAACGCTATAAATTTACTCTTATCCAAACATCACACTTTTGACTGTAAGCTGTCAGTGTCTTGTTTATAAGGCAAAACTCAAACGCGAGATCGACAAAAACTTGGAGGTTCTTTATTCAGGTAATTTGGAATGCTTATTCAAATGCTGAATTTTCTTGCCATGCCGTTTATTGGGCATGCTATTTATTGGCAAAGCATTGTGCAAATCCCTGCAGTAGGAGGTGCAGAGATGATGTTGAGCTGATGGGGTGGAGACTTATTTGCGCACCAGTAGTGAAACGGAAATGTGTCAAGCATCTCAATGCACTAGCACACATAGAGGAAATTGTAGTGGCATTCCGTTCGCCCTCTTGATGCAATCGTTGATGTCGTTTTGGATACAGTAATTGAACTTCTTTGCTAGTTGACGTGTATTAAATCTGCAAAACACTTTTTTTCTGTAAAACATTTCTTATTAGTTCTATACAATCATTAAAGACGACATGCTTTTTTTTTCCTTTTTGTTTAATACGTTTGAGAGCCCCGCTATCGAAGACTGTCAAATTGAACACTCAATTACCATGCTTTCCTCTCGTAATGGAGTATCTTACTCATGCGTAGACATTAGTAAACTAATCGCATGCGACGGGTGAACAAGGCATTGAGAAATGGCGGGTGTGCAACAAAACGGTAAAGGCATGTGCCAGCGAACAGCTTGGAAGTGCCGATTTGTTCCTATCGCGTAGAATTTACAGCTTTTACTTCAGTTATACCTTGTACAAAAGCCTGTTCAGTGTCATAAGATGCATTCAAAAGAGATAAGCAAATCTTGACAAATGCAACCATCCTTTTTTATTATTATATACTATTAACAGGAGTTACTTGAACACAGCACTTACGCCAGCAACTGAAACCAGAACACTGCTCTTGCCCCGGCAGAGCCAATACAGAAGACCTTGAAAGTGCCTTCACTTGGCTTTGTCACTTCTGGGCCAAAGTACACTGCGTCTTTGAAGAAAACTATTAATCTGCCAAGCACTAGCCAAACATGCGCATTTATACTGCGATGGCCTAATGTGGAGCCAATGTGTTCATTTGCCTGTGGAAAAGTGTGACACACTCTGAAACGTCACAGTTCACACGAAAAATCTTTCATCATGACTTCTGAAGTTCATAAGACATGATTTTTCTAAGAAAAGAAATAAAAAAATGAAAATTACACACAGAATCTCCTGTAGAAGTAGGGCATCTATAAATAGAGTGTAAGCGTTAAACTTCACTGTAGGAAGCTCTGAAGTTGCGGCCTTCCCTGAAACATTCATGTGCAACATCGACACGTCGTCTTTCGTCCTTAGAGTTCATCAGCATCTGAAATGGCCCTCCGAAAGCTAAATCGCAGTCACTCGAATGAGTGTCTGGCATTAAATTTTCACAAAATTACTATATTCCTGACCTCTAGAAGACTTCAGGTCGATTTTGCGTGTTTTCCTATCCTGCCCATCGTGAAGTATTTTAAGGAAGCCTTCATAAAAAGCATTCGCCTCTAACTCATGTGTTTTCACTTTCTGTAGATTGTGTGCTGATGATACAGGGGTATTCATCTCTGCAAACATGAGGGTAAGACGGTCGACTTCTGAGCATGTGGTCTCAAGTTCACAACCCAGTAGTGCGAGGAAAATTGATATTGTGCCATACATTTACCTTATTAAAGTTGTTCGCTCTTATATGATGGAGGGACGCACGGGCAGACACACAATTTCTACATTTAGTTCGCAAACACATGCTTATGCAATTCACATAGGACAGGGCCTTAGCAAGCCGAGAGCAAAGTGTCAGTCCCCAGAAGATGACACAGCCTCCTTACGCAAAGTTACCGAGACTTAGGTCACAAAGTAACCTTAATAATGAGGACGAGTTGCAATTTTATGGTAATGCAACAGCTATAGCAATTAGGTAATAAGAACAGTGCCTCAACTGTAACACAGTTTGCTCACCGTTTGCAGAATGGTTGCCCTGTTCTCTTGGAAATCCATAATGGCTTCAGATATCTTCACTCCTATTGGATTTACAACTGACTCAATGTTGAAGGAACTCTCAAGACGGTTTGCCAGGTTCATGAGGGCATCTGCATTAAAGAAAACAAGAAGAAAAAAAACATAGTTAGATACATATCACAATACACTGGTTCCATTCAACACTTACAACCGTGTGATGTGATCACTAATGACACATTTAAGAATCGTGTTAATATGTCCTGACAATCTCCCCATAGTAACAAAAGCTTCTTGTTGACTGCAAACACGTTTTTACTTAATTTTGTGTTGTAATACAACAGTGGCCATGACATCCAGCCTCATTAAGCCACATAGAAACATGTTCAGTTGTGTGGGTAAACATACGTCTTTTACACCACAAGTGGGTTGTTTAAATTCTAACAATTTGGAGAGGAGATTTACTGACTGCCTGAATGAAGTACAACCATATTGTACCAAGACGTCTTTATGTGAATAAAGTTTTCAACAATGTCAGAGAAAACAAAAAATGAAACATCTGCCTAAGAAAAAGACAGACAATGAAACAATTTCAATTAAGATGATTCGTTGTCCACATGCACATAGATTCTATTTAAAGGCAGTAGCTACTGCTTTCACAACCTGCCACTCGCTGTGTAAAGTAATGCAAGCAGACAGATGTCTGCAATGAATGAGGTCACATGCCTAGTACAGGTCCATGTACTGACCAATAAATAAACCCCACTCGCTGTCCAGTTCCATATGGTGGGCCAAGCATCCACGCATTACACTGTGGCAGTATGAGGAGCAGGGCTTCAGGTTCGGTAGGCCATGGCAGTGCGGGCAGTAGCTCATCTTCATCAGTGCATGGCTGCAGTTGGCAGAAGGTCCAACCTGCAATGGAGAAGGTTGCTTGATTCACAGTACCGCATAACATGCTAACCATCTAATATTAAGACACAAGTTGAAACACACTTGTTCGACAGCTTTCCACAGTGAACAGGTTACCACTGAGGAAGTGTGGACAATCTGCCCTCGGAAATAAAAAGGCTGTCATCCATTACGCTTTCACAGTAATTCAGTGGCATCCCTCAGCGCCTCACAACTCGGTACCACTGTTCAGCATACCCCGCCATTTCTCGTCTCTTCGCTTTCCCTTTTCTTTTCTTTTTTTGTTAACAGAAAAGTGTTTTATGTTGGGGTCCAACAAGACTTCAGTGATGCATTTCCATCACGAAATGACGTCAAAATAATAATCATAATCAGAAAACAAATAAAGAAAGTTCTGTCGACAGAAGTCGAACCCATGACCTTTCGGCTTGTGACAACAGAGGCCGGGCATGCTACCCACTGCGTCAAAGCCACATCCTCTGGCCAGCTTTAGAAATATGCGGTTTATATCTAACACTGTCCTTTTATAGCGCTCTTGGTAAAGTGTAGTAATGTATGATGACCGTGACATCTACAATTAGTTCTTCCAATGCCTCATTCCTATGCCTACGCCCCAATCAGTGCACTTCCAACTGGAGAGGCGTGATTTCGCCTATGCATTAACACAACGGCAGGTGGTGCCATTAGCCCCAGAGTCCACCTCGCTCATAGCATTCATCCATACCAAAAGTAGCTCTGCATCGCCCGGCTGCAACTCCACGTTCTCCGCTTACACTCATCCCACAAAAAATCACGACCGCCAAACAGTGTAGACACGATGCGCGTTGCGTTTCTGTCTAGTCAGGCACAGGTGTTCAATATTAGAATAGTATGCCTTGAGTAGTCCAAGTTTGGCGTCCATTCAGTGATGACTCTCCTGGCTGTCACACCGCTTTCTCCGATTATATTCTCACCATTATCTACTACAGATACTACAAGCATCTATGAACACGAGGTTTTGTTTAATAATTTATCATGAACCTTAAGTGTCGGAATAGCCATGTATAACTAAGTGTCAATGTGGGTACATTCACGTTGAACAGCTCTGTAGCTGTAAAACATCAAAAGACATTGTGTAAGCTTTTTATATCAATGTGCCGCAAAAATTCTGCCAGTACCTCTGTAAGAATAAGTTTCACTTTTGTGTCATACTGATTCTTATAATGAAGGTATCAACCATAACTTTTTTTTGTCATTCCCTTCAATTCTCAATGTTCGTTTTTGTATAAATTTGTAACATGCATATTGTGTAGCGCATTCTGTATAGATGAGCATCCCATAAGCCATTTTGTACTGAGCATGGATGCAGCCAGAACTTTATTTTAAGGGTGTCATGAGGCTGTGTGTGTTTCCGATGTGTTCATGCAATAGATACCAAACAGATGAAAAACTATTCATAAGACGGGGCAGGATGTTAAACATCACCCCCCCTCACTCCTTCTGTTGTGACTATTAATGATGCTGCGCATCTCTAGTACACAGAAACTTCAGTAGGAGAGTGCCAGGTAGATGCTTGGTTTGACACCACCTGCACAACCATCACCCTATGCTCCTGACCTTGTACCTTGTGGGCATGTGCAGATGTAGAGCTATTCTAGAGTGTGCATATGGGGGAAATGTTGTATGAGTTAATTAAAAGCATACCTCCATGACGCTTTGTATGACGTCTCTGCCGATGGCCAGCGCCTGTACGAAGGTGCGGGTTGCGACGAATGAGCGCTTCACCTCGAGCGTCAGCTTCTGGGGCACATCACCGAAGGGGCGCAGCTCGTCGCGGTAATCGCTGACGCACTGCAGGTAGCGTTCGCTCAGTGCATACTGGGTGTTCATCACCTGGAACATCTTGCGGTATAGCTCGAGGAAGAAGCCATCCAACGCGTCCACCAGGTCAACGCCGCCAGTGCGATAGTATTTTTCCAGCTGGTCAAACATGTCAGTGAAAATGTACGAGTTGGTGTCGTACTGCATGCCATACGTGCGCAAGAACATGCCGTGGAAGTCCTTCTTGGATGTCTTCAGCAATTCCTTGAAGAACTCTGCAGTTGGCAGAAAACAAGGAAGTGCATTTCAATGTACTGTCGATGTCAATTTGTTACGTACGATCAAGTTATCAGCTCTATAGACTTACTTTCTATAATACATGAGGGCACCGAGATATTGGGCTGTTAAGCTTATGTTTATTGATTTTGTATATTGAGACATGAATTAATAAGGCAATGAAACGTCGTATGCACCAACCTAACTGTGCTCATACATACGCATCCATCGTAACACTGTTTGTAATGTTCTTAAATATTCGAAACACGAAGGTTAACATCTAATTATAGAGATACTCAGACCTACCCAGAAAATACCTATATAAACAAGAAATGTTAGTATTAGATTATTGCTATGACACTCAGAAGTGTAACTTTCCCCTTTCACCACTGTGGAAAAGTCAAAAAAGAGGGACTGGTTGCTGAATTCACAGGGGATTGAGGAACAAAGTGATTCCATCAATCTCACAACGAAAACTGAGAAGTTTCTTTATGCATGGTTCAATGCAGTAGAATGGTATGTCTAGTACAAAATTCAGTCACTAATTGTGGCTGCTAAGGTACACTTTTTGCCAGCTCTGCCTTGGGCTGCTTCAGAGAGGAAGTCAATAGAAGTACCCCCTTTCTCACACACTGACATACGTGATGAGCCTAATCGTTCTCACTGTTTTTTTTTTTTTATACAAAACAGGCAGTACGATTCAGGAGTATATCCACATTAGGTACAAATTATGATGCACTGTCCACAAATGTGTCAAAATTCACATAAAATTACTCCAAGGCACTGAACTCAAGGCATTTCAAGATAAAAAAAAACCGAAATATATTTTGTGTGAGTTTCAGTTCAGCAATTGATTATAGTTAGCATGTAATTCAATTCTTCTTCATTCTGCAAGTGATGTTTCATTTAGACATTAGAAAAACAAAATCATAGGCTCTGAGCGTGGTCACAATTAGTCTTAGGCTGCATTCATTTCAAGAAAACAAAAACAATACTTTTGACATTGGTTCTGGGACACTGCATGCTAAACAATGTAGTGGCTTCACCAATGTGATCGGGTAGTCTTAACTGAAGTCATATTGACAATTCAGGAGGTTCAATTTATCTAATTAACAATGCATTGAGTTCTCTTTTGGTTATAACTTAAGACAATGAGCATAAACAAGTTATCTACACAATCAAAGCCACTATCACTGAGGAGAATATTAATTGTGGCTGGCTTTATTAATATAGATACAACGGTAGCTCTAACATGCAGGAGCGGCACCAGCGGGAGGTGGGGGGGGGGGGGGGGGGGGGCTGGATATCTTTCTCCAATTCCTGCCTGCCCCCCCCCCCCCCCCCCCCCCCACATCCACCCCTTCAGTGCAAGCATAGTCAAAACAACACAACGCCTATGTTCCCATCCTCCCTGCTCTCCTAAAGGAACTCACTTGTCGTGGGGGCCCCACGTGTACAAAAATCCTGCCGCCACCCCAGCTGACACGGTGACGAATGATGGTTTAATATCACAAACTAACAAATAGGCAATAATAAATGGTGTACTCAAGATAACTGCATTTCTATTCTGGCTCTGCGAACAGTTCACGAGCACGTTTTATTTTATTTTTCAATGCTGCAACATCAGAAACACGACTAAAGCCATGAATGAAACCAAGCCGTGACTAGTTGCCCAGCCGCTGCCGACGCAACACATACATGACCACACATTACGTTTTTTCGAAATATAACTTTGCTAATATTATCAGAACTTGCATGCAACCACTATAGTTCTTAGTCACATCAGTCCAGGTGATCTTCGCTGCTGAAATGATTGTGATGACAATTATTAACCCTTACCTTGGCGACAGGGCCTTAAAACGACCAAGACAGCATAGATAACTCCTGGTTGCACAATAGCTCTACAGTTTCACGCGTGCAGTGGCATGTACTACATCAAGGGCTAATTAATAAGTTCGCGCCACACTGAACACACGCCCGTCCATATGATATACGCGTCCAGCATCACAAAATTTATCACTGCGCGTTCGGTCCGGATTAATTTAGCCTACACGGCGCCTTCTCGAGGGTGGTCTTTTCTTGGTTCGCTTGCCGTTCGCATCCTTAGCATATTTCGTCTTTGGAGACCGCTTAACTATGGAGGCCATGGCAAAAAAAAAGGGGGGGGGGGCGGTGCAGGTCCCGACGAGTGATCAGTCTGCCGTTAGTGACGTGCGCGAACTTCTTTAATACCTCGCGAGCCCCCCTCGTCACAGCTGCTGCGGCCCCCGCTCCCTGCCTCCTCCGTCGTTCCTTTCTCCCGCGCTGTATACGAAGGCCAACGGTACACTCTACCAACGGCAGCGGCTGCCGGCGAGACAGCTCGAAGCTAGAGCCGCTGGCTCTTTGTTTACCCATCGGCCGGGAGAACACGGCCGTTCGCGCCTTGGGCTGCAGCAAAGCCGGCGGCCCGACGTGAAAGCAAAACAGAGCCCGCAGGCGCGATGAATGAGAGCTCCGGGCACGGACCCCAGATGGCGAAGGAACGCCGTTGTACGTAACAAGCACAGTACAGTGCACGTTGCATTGCGTGTGTCGTATATGGGCACGTACGGGCGATTTCCTTGATATGGGCTGTTGCGCCTTTGGGTAGCGTGGTGCGGACTCGGGCCATCCGAGTCCCCGGAGAGGACGAGTAGAGAAGCCGGAGAAGAAGAAAAAAATGTTTATATACAGTATTTACATGGTAGCGTGGTACAACATGAAAAGAGAATCACACACGAGCGCCTCTGCGCTAGCGTTTTTATACATCGTCTGCCTTCCCAAGATCCCTTGCAAAGAAAATTTATGCGCAGGATACTCCAATGAGATCGTCGTCTTCCTCTCCGTCCCCGAAGAGGGAAAGCCAAACACCGCCTCCCTCTGAACCTAGGAAAGGGGCAAGACATGCCCAGTTCGCTGTTTGGTGAGGGAGACCCCACGCGCCAGCGTGGCACCACAGTGAGATGACGTGGAATCCCATGCGCAAAGTCGCTCCCTGATGCAGCCAGGTTGACTCAAGCAAGGCAGAATACCCCGTACAGCTGCTGGGTCGACGCTGCTTCGGAGTGTTGCTCTCGGCGGCTGACAAAAGCTTGGCCAACGACTTTTGTGTCAAGAGGAGCCGGCGACGTGGTTTTTCCAGATTGTCCGCGTCCGTCGCCGTCCCGGTGCAGGGTTGACTCATCAACAGCTGCCAGGTGCCAGCAGGCCGCGAAGACCACGTGGAACTTGGGCGAGGCACAACAGCACCCCCGCCGCCAGATGATACATCGGGAGGTCGAGTTGTTCCATGCAGCTCGGCCGGGTCGATGTCGGCGACGTTCCGGCAAGGCTCTTGCTTTCTCGAAGGGCCTGGTCAAACTGGAATGCTCCAAGAGCTGGCCTCTGCGCCCCGCTTCGGTGAAAAGTGGGTGACAAGCTCCAAGAAACGACCTTTGTCAGCCACACACAATGCGACAAGCACCGCGTGCACGCCACTCTCATCGCCAGGCCTCCGATTTTACAAAGCAAACATCTTATCTTAATAACTTAAGCTCAAGGAAACAATGTGCATACCAATCGGGACAAGTGTCCAGTAACTCTTTCATACGTAACTCCATTTGGAATCGAGATAACATTATAATCAAGCTAAACAAGCAAACTGTAGAGCTCGGGACAACGAGGGAGTCAGTGAAAAATTTCTCTACGCCCTCACTGTAACACATTGAAAAAAAAAGTACACATAAACTAGGTAAAGGTAAACAAAAAAAAAATCAAACAAACCTTCCGCGTCTTTTGACGAGTCAAAACGCTCGACTTAGGGCGTCTGCATTTGTATGAAGGCCACCTCTCTTGTAGCGCACCTCGAAATTGTGCTGCTGCAGTGCTATGCTCCATCTGAGCAAACGACCATTCTTAGGTGACATTTGGTGTAACCAGGTTAGTGGAGAGTGATCAGTTTCTATAATAAACTTAGAGCCAGCAACATAGCAGCCTAGTTTTCGTACGGCCCAAACAATGCAAGCACATTCTTTTTCCGAAGTGCTATAAGCCTCTTCCCTGCTGCTCAATTTGCGACTCAAATACAAAACCGGCCGCTCCTCTCCACTCTGGTCCGTCTGACATAGCACTGCTCCTAAACCGCGTTCGCTTGCATCACACTGAATAGTGAAAGGTTTTGCAAAATCCGGTGCCCTCAAGACGGGTTTCTCACTCAATGCGTGCTTCAGCTTCTGAAAAGCGTCTTCCTTTTTAGAGTCCCATTGAATGTTCACAGGTTCGGTCTTGCGTAAACTATCTGTCAAAGGGCTGGCAATCTCGGAGTAATTCGGGACGTAATGCTGATAGTAACCTGTGAGGCCGAGGAATGCTCTCATCTCGGTCTTAGTGCTGGGACGACGATAACCGACCACCGCGGCTACCTTGAGTTCGGACGGTCGACGACGCCCATTTCCTACAATGTGCCCTAAATAGCTTACTTCAGCACAGCCCAAATGACATTTCTCTCTCTTTACCGTAAGACCTGCATTTTTGACCCGTTCCAAAACCATCCGAAGGTGTTCAACATGGTCTTCCCATTTGTCCGAAAATATCGCCACATCGTCTAGGTAAGGCAGCGCAAATTTCTCGAGCCCGTGGAGAACCTTATCCATCAGGCGGCTGAAACAATACGGCGCGTTCTTGAGCCCAAAGCTCATCATCAAAGGACGAAAAGTGCCCAGGGGTGAGATAAAAGCAGCGTATCGACTCGCGCGCTCTGTCAAAGGGACCTGCCAATACCCCCTAACAAGGTCTAACGTAGAAATGTATTTCGCCTTAGACACTGTCTCTACCCTCTCTTCAATGTTAGGAATAGGGTAAGTCTGGTCGACTGTTACAGAGTTCAGGCGGCGATAGTCCACGCATGGCCTTGGATCACGGCCCGGAATCTCAACCAAAATCAAAGGCGAGGTGAAATCACTGTCTGCTTCGATGATAACACCTAGGTCGATCATGCGGC